AGACTCCCATTTCACTGCACTCTTATCTTCTCTCCTTATCACTCTGGCCACACATATCCATGGCCAGTGGTCCAGTTCAAGCCTTTCTAGCCTTGATCTTCCACAATACCGTAAGATGAAGTTGGGCTCAGGCTCATCTCTGATTTTTGGCTCCACATGGCTATTTTCTGTTCAGTGGTGACTCCCTTTCATGTGATGTGTCTCTTGCTCCCAGCAGTGACTGACCCCAGAATCCCCAGAGGGCCCTGGGGCCCTCTGAAAGGCGATGTCACTGCCAAGTTTCCAGGGAATGTGTTGGATAAGAGGCCTCGTGACTCTGTTCCCCAACTCTCTTCTAACAGTTCTCACTATCTCCCAGGTGAGTAAGAATAGTAACAGCCCCCCTGGGGCAGCTAAAATAGGCAGCTTCACACCCTGGCCCTCTGATCGACCCCCGCCTCCCCTCCCCCAGGATGTGCTAAAACAAACATGCATGACTACTAAAGGTGTTAAAAATACCACCGCCACCACTGTCCCTGGGACATAGGCTCAAAAGTCCCTCTACATGGTGATGGACCATACTAAGGTTCTTCCTCAAGACTTGGCTGTCTCTTTAGCTTTGGCTACTAAGTCAAGAGACCCACATTCTAGCCCTGGCCGTAATACTAATGTTGGAGGACCTTGGGTCAGTACTTTTTAGGAGATTGGGCTTTGGAGATGGAAATAATCTTGGTGACCATCTTGTCCAACTCCTTCATTTTACAGAGGAATAATCCAAGGCACACAGAGAGAAAGACTTAAAGTCAAATGCCTAGAAAGCAGTAGTGTCATGATTCAAACCCAGGACTTCTGCCCCCATATCCAGAGGGCTTTTCCATTATATACCATGTTGTCCCTTACGACTTCTCTTGGGCTTCAGTTTCCTCATTAGCAAAATAAGGGAGTTGGACTCGATGATTCCTCCTTCTAGACCTGGCAGTGATGGGGCCTTCCTCAGGAGTAAAGAGGAGCCCTTGTACCCTTCTATGTTTCTTTGGGGAAACAATCAACTCTGAAAGTGGATTTGCTGCTCTCCTTTTTCTCAGTGCCTGGAGATTCCTGGTTGCCCCAGTAATAGCCTGAGCCTTCTGAATTCTCCTGGTATCCCCTAAGCAGCCTTTACCCTCCTTGGTGTCCCCAAGTCTACCAGGCCAAGGTGGGCACTGAGGATGATTCAGTTTGGAGGCTGAAGGGCAAGGCTGGTAGGGCGACATTATTTCCCCCGTAAATCAGCCTCAAGGGGAAGAACATCATGGTGGGCACAGTCATGGGTCTTTGTCCTTCCAGGGGCTAACAGCATACAGGCAGTCAGAAAGGCCCTGAAATTGGTGATTTATGGCAGAAATAAGAGAAAACCTCAGGGTCTTAGGAAGCTTATTGTCTTCACTTGCCCATTCCTGTCTTTCTCCACCTCCATTCATCTCCTTCAGCCTCAGGCTTTCTTGGATCATGCTTATCCTTTTGACAGCATTTATAGGGTGAAGGTTAGCTCCAAGAAGCGTGTAACCCAGCCACTGAAATTGATCCATTCCCTATTCTGCATTGGACCATATTGCTTTCTGTACTAGTTTATGTTCTATTCCACACAAGTTTATGTTCCCATCTACACTGGCCCATGGGCTCATACACTAGATCACACATTCCTCTATACTGAATCATTTCCTTTTATATTGGCCTATGCACCTCTCTATATCAGTCCTATTCCCTTTTATTTTGACCTTTCCTCCCATCTGTTATGGTCCATGCTCTCTTCTATATTGTCCTACGTCAGTCAACAAATATTTATTTATTTTTCTTTTCAAACATAATTTATTTACTTTTTAAACTTAATAGTATTTTATTTTTTACAATTACATGTAAAGATAGTTTTCAACATTTATTTTTGTAAGATTTTTCTCCCTTTCTTCCCTCCCTCCCCCCCTCAAGACCACAAATGATCTGATATAGGTTATACATGTACAATCATGTTTAACATTCATTTTTAAAAAAATTTGAGTTTTAAATTCTTTCCCCTCCTTCAGCCCCTCCTTTACCCATTGAGAAGGCAAACAATATAATATCAATTATATATGAAAAATGTATTTCCATACTAGCCATGTTGTAAAAAAAAAGCAAGTAAAACAAAGTGAAAAAAAGTATGCTTCAATCTGCATTTTGAGTTCATCAGTTCTTTCTGGAGGAAGATGGCATTTTTCATCTTTGTCTTGATCAGAGAAGCTAAGTCTTTCACAGTTGATCATCATTACAATAATGCTCATCAGGTATTTACTAGTAAGCATTCACTATGTATCAGGGACTTGTGCTAAATGCTGAGGTTATAAAGGAAAGCAAAAAAATAGGATCCCTGCCTTCAAGGAGCTCATAATCTAATTGGGTAGACAACAGTGTTCTACACTCCCCTGTATGCTCCTGTCTATTCTGACTGGTTTTCTTTTTTATGACTTGTGTTTCTCTCTTTGTTGATATATATTCTTCCCTACACTGATCTAGGTTCTTCTGGAAATGGCTGGTAATACCCTCTGTGTTAGTCCATGTTCTCCTCTCATTCAAACTTCATAATAGAAGCATGAAATATAGTCCCTGCCTGTGAGAAACTTATAGTCCAGACAGGCAGCTGGTCCACTCAGGATAGGAACCTCAGGTGGGAAGGAACATACATAGGATTGAGCTGGCAAGTAGCCCAAATATGTGTAAGATTACGTAAAGATCATTGAGAGCTAAGTGGTCAAGGAAGGCTTCCTAGAAGAGGTAAGAACTTAGTCTTGAAGAATTGGTAGGTTTTGGGTGATTGGAAGGGTACCAGGAAGACAGTGAGGAGAAACGCCTGGCTGGAGGCACTGGGAGGTGTAATAACCATTCAGTCATTTCCTTCAGTCCTGTCTGACTCTTTGTGACCCCATTTGGGGTTTTCTTGGCAGAGATATTGGAATGGTTGGTCATTTCCTTCTTTAGCTCATTTCACAGATGAAGAAACTGAGGCCAACAAGGCTAAGTGACTTGCCCAAGGTCACACAGCCAGTAGGTATCTGAAGCCAGGTTTGAACTCAGGTCTTTATCCATTATATCACATCTTAGGAAAGAAGAGTGGTGAGGTAAGGTAGGAAAAGATCTGGGATGGTGGGATGCTATTGAGGTGAGATTAAAGATTTTGAACTTGATACTGTATAAGCAGAGGGGAATAATTATATACTTGTTGGTATGACACACATGTATAACAATGGACCATACTGATACAATACTTTTGTTTTTTGAGGTGTGTGTGTGTGGGGGGGCAGTGTCTAAAGGCATTATCTTGCTGGTTCACAGGCCTCCACACCTACCATTGCCTGTTGACTTCTCACTATGTCCCTCCCCCACTTTCTAGCACCCCTTTATATTTTGTCTTTGACTGTTAGAATATAAGCTCCATTAGTGCAGAGACTGTCTGGCTTCTATCTCCAGCCCTTAGCATGGTGGCTGGCACGTAGTAAGTACCTAATAAAAGTGCTTCACTTCTCTCTCTCTTCTTATTTCTCTCTTATCTCTCCATCTCTCTATCTCTCTCTGTGTCTCTTTTCTCTTCTCCCTCCCTCTTTTTCTATTTCTCTTATCTCTCTATCCATCTCTCTCTCTCTCTCTCTCTCTCTCTCTCTCTCTCTCTCTCTCCCTATTTCTCTCTTATCTCTCTATCTCTCTAGCTCTCTGTGTCTCTTCTCTCTTCTTCTCCCTCCCTCTTTTTCTATTTCTCTCTCATCTCTCTATCCATCTCTCTCTCTCTCTCTCTCTCTCTCTCTCTCTCTCTCTCTCTCTCTCTTTCTCCTCTCTCCCTCATCTATCTAGCTACCCACGTTTTGCTGGTATGGTGAATTTCCAGTGAGACAATCCCTCCACCGATGTAGATCTACAACGTCCAGGCTTAGAAAACCATCGGGAGCATTGAGAAGTTAGATGGCTTGCTCAGGTCACACAGTCAGTCTGGATCAGAGGCAGGATCGGAGCTCAGGTTTTCCTGCTCGGAGGCTGGCTCTGTATCTCTCGGGCCACACTGCCTTTCACAGAGTAGTTCATCTTAGCCTCCTTGGCTTCCTTCCAGCCTCAGCTAAAATCTCCCTTTTTGTCAGAACCTTTCCTGATTCCCTGCCCCCTAAAGCTGGTTCCTTCCCCCTGATGATCGTTTAGCCCAACTCTACCTTGTTTGTACATGACTATTTTCAAGGTATCTCCCTGTTAGATTGTGAGCTCCTTAGGGACAACGAGTGTCTTTTGCCTTTCTTTGAATCCCCATTGCTTAGTAGGGTGCCTGGCACACAGTAGGTGCTAAAAATGCTTATTGACTGACTTTATAACCCACAAAATGTTTTCCTCATAGCAAACAGGAGTTTAAATACTGTGTTATCACCCCATTTTACAGGTGAGAAAACGGAGGCACAGAGAAGTTAAGGGATTCGTCCAAGATCACATGGCTAGTGTCAGAAGGGGACTCAAACCCAAGTCTTTTGCTTCGAAGCCCAATGCTCTTCCTACCATAACCTGCTACCTATCATGTCCTCAGAAGTCTGCTCCCAGAGGGCTCACTCTCCATCACGAGTCTGTTGTGCTGGTTCCAAAGTCTCTCAGTTTCTCAAGGATCTGCTCCATTTCTATCCTCAGCTCCCCGTTTCATGAAAGCAGGTGCTTTGGAGACACCGTTCATCTCCCTTCCTGATGGCCTCTCCTTTCCCCTGGGAGGTCCTCCCCATTTCATACTGAAGGAGTTTAGAACCAGAGCTGTTTGGACATTTAAATCATAACATCACACTTCATAAGTAGCCTGGAGACCAAGAGCCCAGCTACCACCCTGGCCCAGCTCGCCCCTGCCTGGAGCTCAGCAGCCGCTTACGATCTTTCCCTCCCTTCTCCTCTTGCCATCCCTGGCCCATTCCCACTTTCCAGCATTTCAGTCATTGCACCTTCTGCCTGTTATATGAGGGCTGACAGGTACTTCTGCTTTCTCACTCTCTTGCAGGTAGGCCTCCTTGGGCAGAAATGACTTGCCCAAGTCTCTTACCAATGACTTATGAAGGTCACAGGTAAGTAAGTAGCAAAACCAGGATTCAAACCATGGTTCTCTGACTCCAGATGGAGTACTCTTTCCTACCATGGCACAAACCTTAAGGGGTTGTTGTGAGATCATTTTTGTAAAGCACTTAGCACAGTGCCTGGCACATAGTAGGCACTTAATAAATGCTTCTTCCCTCCCTCCCTTCCTCCCTCCCTCCCTCCCTTCCTTCCTTCCTTCCTTCCTTCCTTCCTTCCTTCCTTCCTTCCTTCCTTCTTCTTCCTTCTCTTCTCTTCTTCTCCTCCTTCTCTTTCTCCCTTCCTTTTCCCTCCCTCTCTCCATCCCTCCCTCCCTTCCTTCTTTCCTTCATTCCTCCTTCCCTCCTTCCTCTCTTCCTCTCTCTCCTCCCCTCTCTTTCTTCCTTTCTTCCATCCTTCCTTTCTTCCTCCCATTCTTCTCTTCCTTCCTTCTTCCCTCTCTTCCTCTCTCTCTTCCTCCATTCCTCCTTTCCTTCTTTCTCACTCTACCATGATTCTGATTCTATGACCTTGTCCCTATCCCTTCTTGCTTTTAATCCTCTGTTTCCTACTCATCTGTGGTTCTCCCCTCCCCCACTTATCCAGTTCTATTGACCTCTGAGACAATGGCCAAGAAAACTTCCAAGGTTTTCCCGTCCAGGGCCTTAGGACGTTAGGCAACTTGCTCTTGGTTACATAGATCTGGACGTAGACATAAACATAGACATAGACATAGACATATTTAAGGCAGAAATGCAGATAGGAAGGAGGAAGACAATGACCATGCTCCCTGGACTTGGTTTTGTTCCTGTGTCCATCCCAACTCTCCAATTCATTTTCGTGAGAGATCAAAAGAGTCTCGGGATTGGGAAATTGGAGGATATCAAACCTAGAGAGCCTCTGCAGTATTCTGGAAGAGCACCCTCTAAATTGATGCTGATCAGGTATGATTTAGCTATCAGAAATTAAGCAGAGAGCGACAAAGAATTTCTAACTTTAAGTTAGAGGATCTCTGGCAAAAAAGATTCTGCGAGAGCCTCTGTGTATTTCACAGGCTTGGCATCTGCTGTGAGGAATCTCCTTTTGAACAGGAAATGCTCATTCTAGTCAAAGCCTAGAGAAACAGATAGAACCCTTTCATAGGAAGAAAAGCGACTGAGGACTTTTCCTAGCTCAGTGCCTGAGTGTTCAAGGTCTCTGCTGTTCTAAAAGAGCCATAATTTTAAAAAAAAAGCCTCAGAGACTTAAGATAAAAGAATTAAGTTTCAGTTCACTTCAGAGGTTGCCTCAGCTGAAGACTCCTGGTGATACCAGAAGCTGAAAGAAAACCTTCACAACTTCATGCCCACTGGGGCAATACTTAGCAGCAATGGGGATTCCAGAACCAATGTAATGTTATCAAGCAGGGGTCACAAGAGACTAGTGATAGGTAAACCCAGTGGGAAAAATGGAATGACATTACTCGAAGCAGAGGAAGCCCTGTAGCATTAGAGGTATAAGTTGTCTTTTCCAGGGATGGTCAGTGTGTTTGAGGGAAGATATACCCTAGGTTTATGGGGGAAATGTTTTCTTGCTACTTTTTTTATGCTATGCTATTTCATAAAATATATTTGCTTTGAACTAATTGTGTCCTATGGCTGACTAAAGATAGTAAATGCAGTGGTAGGGGCTTGTTAGCTATGATTTTAAGTGGATGTGGACCTATAGAGTACCTTGAACCTGGAGTCATCTTATTTGGGGAGTGAATTGAAGGGTGCACTCAGGAGCTACTTGAGGGGTACTTAGTCTCTGTCTGCCCCTAACTTTCTCTACCTGTGTCCTTCTTCTTTGGCTAGAAAACCTTCCTATCCATCTTGAAATTTTCACTGTGAACATTACTCTCTCAGTATTGGACAGCAAAGGGTGGGGTTCTATCTCTATAAGGTCCCTGTGAAAATGCACAAATTAGCCATTTAGAGGGAAATTTGAATGAAAAAAATGTAACAGGTGGAAGGGAATATAGAATGTTAGAACTGAGAAACTGAGAGATAATATGAGGGGTCATAACCCCTTCATTTTACAGATGAGGAAATTTGTGCAAGTCACTTAAACTCTCTGACTCCATGTTTCCTCATCTGTAAAATGGGGCAAAGGTTTTTATTGCTTACCTGATAGGGTTGTTGTGAGTTTCTAATAAAATGATATATGTCAAGCTAAAGTGCAAGCTATTATTGTTATGAGGGAAGTAACTTGTCTAAGAACACAGGGGAGGGGAAGACACTGAAGCAGAACTGTAACTTTGGTGGGGTGACTAGAGCTTTGCCTCAGGGTGTCAAAATTTAGAAAGCCCAGGTAGGGAAACTGGAAGCCAGTTTCGTCCCCCTGCATGGGCAACTGGCCTCTGTACCACATTGCCCCTAGTAGTGGCCAGTCCTTTAGCAATTATGTAAGAGATGCTGTGTAAATAATTATTCCCTTCCCCTTTATCAGCATAAAAACCTTGCATTGCTGTGGAAGGCTGTTCTTACCCTTATTAGTCACAACCTAGAGCCCCCAACCCCAACTTTGTCCCTAGCAGCCACTGGTTCTTAAATGTCAAGACAATGCCTTCTTTCTTGGGTAGTTGCATCCCGTGTGAGCTCCCCTACTCTCCAATTCCTCTTGTACAAAAAGCCAAGTAAGACACAAACCCTGCCCTCATGGAGCTTACAGTCTTGTAATGGATAAGGTAGGGACATAGCTATAGTATAAGACAAACTGTGGAGAAAGGGGTAGGGCTTTGCCCCTTGAGGATCATTCAAAGAAATTGCTTAAAAATAAATATTAGGACCATTCCACCTCTTCCCTCCTCCTTCTCCCCTTATACACACACACACACACACACACACACACACACACACACACACACACACACAAAATATACACAAACACCAGAAGAGCCCTGAGCTAAACATAAACTCTAGGCTGCCAGGTCCCAGCAAGACCCAAGTGGGCTTTCTAGGGATTTCCATTCCCAGAGGGGTCTGAGTTGGCTTCAGAAGAGGCCAGCATGTTTGACATTGGTCTGTTTTATTGACTCTTTCAGTGAGTAGAATAGAGGGGCCTGGAGAGGGAGGAACAGAGCCAGAGAAGGAGAGACATGATGGAGATAAAGAAACTCAGTCCTGGGGCCTGGGTTGCATGTTTGGGCTGCCTGGAGTAGACAGGCTGTATCCATTGCCTGCATGGGTGGATCTTTGGGAACCCATACCTGATAAGTCTCCCTGCCTGTCCATAACAAAATGCAGGAGCTACTTGGGGGAGGGAGGTTGGAATTGTTGCTGAGGAAGAGGTCTTTGCCTTAAGCAATAATGAACAGAAAGAAGAGAGAACCAGGGAAGACTTCTTTGAACAGTTGTAGATTAAAGTAAGCAGAACCAGGAGAACAATTTACACAACGATCACCAAAATGTAAAAGGAAGCGCTGAGAAAACTCTCACTCGAAACAGAGCAGTTCCCAGGAGACTGATGTGAAGCGTGCTTCCTGCCTCTCTAGAGAGGTGTTGGGTCAGGGATATGAGACATACATTGCAGGCATTGGTTTGTTTTGTTTGAATTTATTTGTTATGAGGGAAGTTTCCTTTGTAGGGACCAAGTTAATTGGAAGTAACAGCAATGTCAGATGGTGATGATGATGATGATGATGTTAAGATGGGCAGCTGGGGGCACAGTGGATTGAGTGCCTGGGATCAGCAAGACCCCTGAATTCAAGTCTGTCCTCAGACACTTACTAGCTCTGTGACCTGGGATCAGCAAGAACCTGAATTCAAGTCTGTCCTCAGACACTTACTAGCTCTGCGACCCTGGACATGTCATTTCATCTCTGTTTCCCCCAGTTTCCTCAACTATAAAATGGGGATAATAATAGCATTGACCTCCCAGGGTTGTCGTGATGATCAAATTAGATATTGGTAAAGTACTTAGCATAGTGCCTGGCATATAGTTGGCACTGTATAAATGCTTATTCTCTATTTCTCCCTAATAATAATGATAGCTAATGTTTATATAGTACTTTACATATATTATCTCATATGATCTTTATACCAATCCTATGAGATATGGGCTATTGTTATCCCCGACTCACAGATGGGGAAACTGAGGCAGATAGAGGTTAAGTGGCTTGCCCAGGGTCACACAGGACCTGAATTCAGGTCTTTCTCACTCCAGGTTCAGCATTGCGACTGCTAAAAAGAAAACAAAGGCCAAAGTCATCCACTGTATCCTAGGCCATCGTCAGTCATCCTGACTTTTGTCTTGCCACTGGACCTGGACGACTGGAGGAGGCAGTGAGGCTGATGGTTTTGCGCAGTTCTGCCTCTCTTAAATCCAATTCACATGCAAGTCAAGACATCGCCCTGAGATGTCATTGGTACTCTTTGAGAATGAAGACACACAACAACAAAGAGGCCTTTTTGACCTTGGGTTCAACTTTGCCATATATAAGCTGTGTGACCTTGGGCAAGCCACATCCCAATTTTGGAATTCAGTTTCCTCATCTGTAAACTAGAGGGGTTGGACTTGATGTTATATAAAGGCTCTTTTAGCTTTAACATTCTACATTTTATATGCTAACATTCCCTAATCTGTGATCCTTTCCTGTCCTGACATCCTACAGTCTAAGTTCCAACATTCTTATGTCTCTGACATTCTATGTTAGTAATAATAATAACAGTGGCAGCATTTATATTGGCACTACCTAGCTGCCTAATATTCCATGGGTCCTTTTAGCTTTACCGTTCTATGTTGTAAGGCCAGAGATTTAGAACCAGGTTTTAGAGGCTCACAGGGATCAGATATGACTTGTCCAAGGTAAGTAGCACAACCAGATGCTCCAGTAGTCGAACCTTGGTCCTCCAAGTCCAAATGAAGCACTCTTCTCACTCCACCATGATGCTGAGTCTTGCCTCCATGCAGATTTGCTTTTAGCCCCTTGTTTCCTACTCATTTGGGGTTCCCCCTTCCCAACACATCCTGCTTTGCTGGTTTCTGACACAAC